GGCATCGATAGCTACGTATGTTGTAGTATCGTAGATCCATGTTAAACTACTAGGTATAGATATCAAATTGCTTGTGGCATGGATTTGATCTTGGGCGCTGTTCCTTGAAGTAACGCTTGGCTCCGAGTAAGTGATGTGTTCATGTTTATAAATGTAAAACGGCCGGCGGTGGTTTCTGTCCTGTTCTGGCTCTGGCGCTAATATGAAGAAGATTTGGTGGATTGAAATGCTGTTTTGTGATAGTCCTCTTGGCCTATCTGTTGGCAGGAGTGATCTCAACACCTGAATCAATTCAGATAAAGACCCAAGCGTCAAAAAGAGTGGAACAGGAAAAAATAATTCTCCAACTTTAATTTTGCAAATAAAAGTAAATGATAACCAAACACCAACTGCCACAACGTCCGAATGGATCATACACAGAGGAAAAAAAAAAATTGGGAATCTCATTCAAAAAAATACAGAAAGTTATATGAGGAAACGGTGTGGTGTAGTTACGGAGTTTTAAAAGGGGGGAAGAAAAAGAAACAATGAGAAAGAAAAGACAAGAGCTAAGGTGAGATGATACTGGATGAGCATTGAGAAGAGGGAGTTTGTGTAAGGGGGGATTTGTTAAGAAATGGGTGGTCATAGTGGACACGGAAGTAGGCTGTGAGCAAAAAAGGGTCGATAGATGAAGAAAAATCCAATTATTGTGGTGAGGGGTCTCCCAAGGGGAGTTTTCGGCTTGAAAGCCCCCTGAGGAGCACTAGATAAGCATGCCATAGGAGGACCAAAAGGGCATGAAGCTTGGTGCTGGGAAGAGGTAATGTAGCCTCTTGCGTAAGACTGGTTGACAATAGGGTGAAAAGAAAATGTGAAAAATAAGTAGTGAGCATGAGGATCAATCCTTTTCTTTAGAGTATTGAGAAGGTGGACCAAATTTTTTCAAAAAACAGAGCACGCATATAGGTATTTCCAATCAGACCAGAGTTATAGAACCAACTGACAAGGAGATTTTCCCGGAGAGAAAATGAAACGGCGTTTTAACAAAGTCGCGAGTGACAAGTAATTGGGAATAAAAGCAGAGGAACATGGGAAAAGGGGTTTCAAAAAGCAGTAACCCGCGGGACCACACGTTGTTTATAATGATACCGCCATTAAATATATCAGAAAAGCAGAAACCGCGCCTGCAAATCCCTTACCACCAAGCCTACGCCCCATCTTGCCGATCGTCCACATCAAATTCATGGGAATCACACCTAAAGATGATATGAAGGAGGGCAGAAAATAAAGGAAGAAAAAGAAATCGGAGGCAATGCAGTAGAAAATTCTCTTTTTGTCAGCGCCTTCGGAGCAATGGTTGCCAGCTGTATCCAAAAAGATATTAAGATCGAAGGGAAAATAAAAGGTTAATAGTGAGCGTGAAGAAGGAACGACGACGCTGGCGGAGAACAATCCGGACCGCCGACTGTTTGCGAATTAGGACGGAAATCGGGTAAACCTAAACGAGTAACGCCGCTGGACAAGGAGGAAACGGGTTTATAGTGTGTCGCCAGCGCCTGCCTCGACACCGTCGGGGTTATAAGTCAAGTTGGATTCGAAAGTAAATCCGTTTGGATCCTCGTTGTTAAGAAATGTGTCAAAATCAAAGCTTTCAAGAAGGTCGGGGTTCTCAAGACCGGCGAAATCAAGGCCATAAGTGTTATTCTAGATTTAGACTGTCAGAGTCGTACTTTATACGAATGCATAGAGACCGACTTACATCAGGGATGTTTATATCACCGAACGTTAAATTGGGATCCTGTTGCGGTTGTGGTGGTTGCGGTTGTTGCTGAGGTTGCGTTTGCGGTAATTGAGATGGCTGCGGTGGTTGCTGCCCGATAGCTTGCGGTGCGGGTGCCGATGTTGGCTGCGCACCATTAGTCGCCGCACCGGGACCAGCTTTATTGAACGAATTTGGATGTACGGGGGTGATTGGAGTAGAGGGTGTAGGAGTTGGTGGAGGCTCCGCTTCGGATGATGGAGTTGCAGCCGTGTTTCCTGCGTTGGCGGGAACTTTCGACTTGGCAACACGCTAAGCAGCAGTTAGCAGGGCACAGAACGACGGAGCATATGCTATTAACCTTCATTACCTTTCTCACTGTGTCTTTAGTGTCTTTCTTAGTCTTTGGGGCTGGCTTGTTCGCTTGTTGTGGGGTTGGAGGCGCCACGGCGCCAGGTTGAGGGGAAGGCGGTTGGACTCTACCAGTCGCTCCACCAGCAGCGGGAGCTTGGGGGGGCGGCATCGCATTCCGCTCTTGAGGCGTTCCGGCGGTTTGGGCTTGTCCAGGTTGGGGGATCATGGGTTGTCCTTGCGGATTTTGTTGCCAATTGCCACTTGGCATTCTGTTTGCAGTTCCAGGCGGCTGTGGGCGTGTCATCGCATCCATCGGCTGTGTCATCTGCGGACCACTAAATGCGGGATTTGAACTTGGCGGCCGCATACCATTCGGGCCAACGAGACCTTCAGGCTTCACGTTGAAAAAGGCAGCTCCGCCCATATCAGGTGGAATCTGACCACCAGCGAAGTTCATCGATGCAGGTGAGCCACGGCCTTGGCCCATCGCATCACCAACATTTGGCGACCCAGGAAGTCCTGTCTGAGGTAATTTCGGTGTTCCCCGTTTCATCTGTTCATTCGGATTTGGAGATGCGCCAGTTCGACTCCCCTGAGGCGATGTTCCAGGAGCCAAGTTGGGTTGAACCATTCCAGGCTGACCATCAGCATGAGCCATGATCTCTTGTTCCTGGCGAGCTATCATGAGGCGACGCTTGTTTTGCTGCTCCAAGAGCATCAGCTGCATTTGGTAGTCCTGGAGCGCATGGTTTCCGCCGCCAGCTTGTCCGCCTGGTGTCTGCATTCCGGGTCTCATTTGCGCCATCTGACCGTTCGGTGCGTAGTAATCTTGCATTGGCAACATTCCTTGCCCGTCATGCAATGGCATTACATCGCCTTGGTTTGGCATAACTCCGGGATTCATTAAGCCATTTGGCATGCCCTGATTATTCATAGCTGAGCGTGAGTGATGCATGGCCAGATTCTGATTATATACCTGGAGAGACTTTGCTTGTACCGATGGATTTTGTGCTTGCAGTGAGTGGAGCTGAGCCGGGGTCAGAGTTCTTGGATTGATACCATGTTGCATCAACAAAGTATTAGTCTGTTGATTTGGCTGACCCGGGAGACCTTGCGACTGCGCACGACATCGTGTCATTGTGCCATGACTGTGTCATCAGCGCGTCGTTAGACGAGACGTGCATCTCACAGAGGAGTGACTGCGCTATGCATCATCTCATGTCAGATGTCACGTGCATTGTGTGCATACTGAGCTTATCTGCTGCAGTTGTGCCATATGTTGTGTAGTCCTAGCAACACTGTCAGCTAAATCCCATCCAACGCGACACTGAGCGCGACGTAGCATACATGTTTAGGGCATTCGCTTGCATCATCGACTTTTGCATATTTCGCTCGCATCATTCCCGTTACCCATCCTCATATTGAATTGACTTGGCATCATTTGGGAATGGCGGTAAATTTGGTTTTGTTGGTGATCACGGAGACGAAGTATACTCTGGGAAGGAAGTATCAGTACGGGCCTTAAAAGGCTATTGCAGGATAGTTACGCGCTTGACGTACTTGAGTATGCTGAAGATATTGCATGGCTTCAGGGCTTTTGCCTTTTCGCCTTTGCGCCCAAAAAACATCCCAGAAAAGGTTGAACCAGTCGAACAGAAAGGATGTTTGTTGCATATCACCGTTCAGGTTAGGTCGTGGGAGGTCATCTGGAACCTTGGCTTTCATATCATCGTTTGAGTCGGTGGCCATGGCATCTAGATCGACACCGTTAACTTCACCATCACGATGGTTGAACTTTGACGGTGCAGCTGTATTCATTGGGACGTTGGAATCTTTGACAAGGGCCCTCGCGCAATCAATGTAGCCTCGTTTCAGAAAGTAGTCGTAGATGTAGGTATTAAGCTGTACAACCATGTTGTGGTCCGGCGAAACGTTCGGATTGTTGGGGTCGCTACGAGGAGCAGACGAGCCGGTGTTCATCATGGGGATGCCGCCCACTGGGCCGCCAGCGGCAGGATGCATTCCCTGCATGTTCATCTGGTTCATAGCGGTATCGAGCTGAACCAGTCACTTGGTATTATCAACCAGAGAATCTGGCCTACTCTTAACCACGACTACCCCGACAAAATCGCGACCAAAGACGATAGATCAGACGGAGGAGCTGGGGTGTAACGTTACTGAAGAGAAAGAGCGAAGGGCGGCGTTAACGGCCTGATGCCTAGGAGTCTGTCTTGCGAGAGTTTGCAGGAACAACTAGCTTCGCCGAAGTTGTCAACACTGAGCCGCAAGTTTCTTGATTGAAAGAGGCGTCGGGGTGGCGAAAGCGTGACTGGGGCGAACGCTAGGCACAAACAACTCTAACAAGATATCCCACGGGAATGCCAAAGTTTGAAACCGGCGGGTAACGAAAGACGTTGGAGAGCAGATAGGGCCCGACCAGGGAGAGCTTCGCCTATTGCGACGAACGGGAGGCGAGTTAAGACGGAAAGTGGCAGCACGGTGGAAGAAAGGATAGACGGTAAGGTCAGATGAAAGTCGGGCGCCAGAGTGTGGGTATGGGAGGACGTGTACTCGGACGGCGCACCAGCGATGAATGGAGTTACGGTACTGTGTAGGTTGGAGAGAGCGCGTTAATCATCTGCAAAGGACAAGAGGAGAGCGGGTGACTAGCAGAGCATGATGCCCGGACGAGTCGGTGGGAAAAGCAGAGAGAGTTGATCGCGCATAGAGGTAGGTGTTGTAGAGGGAGTTGGCGGGTAGGGAAGGGTGCGAAGGAGATCTTTCTTCAGGCCTGGGGGGGCGGAGAAGTGGTGAGTGGTTGGGCGCTGGGATCAGTTGAGTACTCACCAGGCAAAAAAGGCAGCGAAGAGGAGGGACCAGCGGTTTGGGTTTGGGGAAGACGTGGAATTGAAATGGGGTTGAAAAGAGAGAAGAACACCTCAACACAGAATCCAATTCGCCCTAGTCCTTCAAATGCACCTGAACACAGTCCTGACATTCATCTCTTCATCACGGCCTCGCGAGCAGAGGGGGGTTAAAAATGGGATCGTTGCAGCTTTCTGGCGAGACGATCGTCTATATTCATTCGGGTGGCTGTCACAGCAGGTCCCGCGGCTACGCACGCCCGCCGTAGTCTCTGGCACGCAAGTATCACGAGGAAAGGGGGGCGAAACATACGGTACGCCCGTACCTGACCTGACCGCACGTAATTTAGAGGCCGGGCCTGACCGAATGCATTGCAACAAGCGACAACAAGCGCACACGTATGACGGACGCTCTCTGGAGATCTAGCTATTCGCCTACGGGACGGTGATGGCTGCCATTCGATGTGTTGGAGTGGCACCCCCCAAACCGCACAGTGTCAACAACCCCATACTCACGTCAAACCGCTTGATACACGGCCAAGACCCCATAATTTCAGCATACTGGTATCGACATTACCCAAGATACACGCTGGAACGGGGGGGCTTCATCTCAGCACGCTGCGTCATTGGGCGAATGGCCATACAATTGATTCTTCTCACGCTTCTGCTTTGTACGACTGTCAGCCAGCGGCGGATTGGAAGACCCGTCGGATCAAATGCGGGGAGCGAAGAGGGAGCGCATCAGGTCTTGTAGCGGATTCACCATCAGCGCCGGGGGTGCCGGGCCTGCCTTGCTGATTGGACGGGAAACCGATCGGACCGATCACGTGAGCAAATCATCGCTCTCCCGCCCTCTGGGATCGCAGGGATGGCGCTGGACGATGTGTGTTTTGCAGCCAGACCCCCGCGCTTGTTGATACGCTAGCTCGAGTTCAGAGGATCAAACCAGAGGTCAAGCTTCGTTGAACGGTCGAAGCGAGAAGAATCATCGAACCACATTCCATGGGAGCAAATGTCTAGGAAACGCTGGAATAAAACACGGCCCCAAAACGCCATAACACCCGGTCGCGCGCGCCAGTTCGCAACCCACGATTGATAGATCGCACCACCCTTTCTTTACCCTCTCATTCGTCGTCAGGCGGCATTTCGTCTTCCAAGTATCTGACTAGAGAAACCCGCATTTCCGTAGTGTCATTTCCACGTAAAACATCGCTCACAAAATGGGCCTCCACTTGCATTTGCACCTACACCGGATCGCATTAGTGGGGATCATGAACCAGCGACACGGAAAGATTATAGGGCCAAATACCATTTCCAATGAGCCTCTGAGCACGCCACACAGAATATTCGAGTACCACAGTTCATCCTGTGCCCGCCCATCATCGGGTAATTCCACAAAGTCCGCAAGCGGATTCTCCTCAAACACCAATGAAAACTGTTTATTATCGCTTGTCCAATTCGTCACGGTAGGAGTGATATTCAAAAATATCTTGAAGCCAACCTATATCGCCGAGCCCTAAATTAGCACCGCAAGCATCGGCCCTTGGAGCTTCTAAAGCTAGCTGACCTTGGAAATCATATCGGCAGTTTCTTTGAAATTTGAGCACCTCCCGACGCTCGACTTTGCCAGGAAGTCTTCGATTAAACGCATTCCGATATTGTACCCCATCTTATCCAATTGTCTGTTGACCTCGATGTAATCGTTATCATAGTCGTTGCAGAGCTGCGCAACAATGGTTCCATACGTCAAAGTGACTAGCTCCGCATTGACCTTGTCAACCTTCGTCCTACATTCACCAAATAAGCGATTAGCGATTTCGAGGTCCCTTTTGCTTGTCCCAGCGACGATCGTGCGCGTCCGGTTTTGAAGGAGGGGTATAGAAGCTGGCGAACCCAAGCCAAATGAAATCCTACTCACTTCCATATTCTAAATGTAGCCGGTATAATTAGCAAATCATATGGTTGAAGGTTGCGAGGGAATGGGCGTAGAGAGGCGCATACTCTTCACCTATTCTGGGCGCTTTCGGTGACGACGTGAGGTATTCTTAGGGAGTAGGCAGACGTAATTTGAAGTCGGGTGCGATCTTAATCTTCAGTCGACATCGATGTGACTGTAGTCATAGGCAATCGAAGTGCTGTGCTGAAGCTGGTCAATCGTGCAAGTCATGCAGTTCAAATATGCTTTCCAGTCCAAAGGGGGAGTTTATTGGACCCGCGCATCTGGACATGTGGAGCCGATGGTCACTAAACTAAGTTAGCCGCCTAAGCCGCCCAGCCGCTGTCTTCGGCTTAAAGTAGCGCCTACAGCAAACTTCCCAGCGGAAATCGCGATCAACCTGACGAGCGCGTCAGTTGAGATACTGTTGAAAGGCCGTTGCTCATACCATCGTTTCTTCATATCGAACACTTGTTAAAGATTTACTGGCTTCTACACCACTCCTTGGATTACAGAGTTTTTCTTTCTCAATTTGACGTGATTCCAATGATGTCTGCGGAAAAGAGGCCGGTTCAAGCTTCGTTTGGCTCAACGCAGCTGGTCAAACGACCACGCTCGGATGCGGACCTGAGAAATCAAAACTCCCTTGCTATCTCAAATAGTACAACGCAGCATGGAGCGTTGATGAAAGCTGTAAGTCATGCTCCTTCCAGAATTTTTTCGAGGAGCAAAACTGATTGAAAATTGCCAGATCCCCCGCACAAGCGGGCTTGAGGCTCCTATTATGGAACTGACAGGTGCGATTTGGTTAGTTTCTTGATGAATAGTTGCTCGGGGCTGACTGATTCGTACAGGCCATACCGGGGAAGTTTTCGCGACGAGGTTTGATCCAACGGGCCAACAAATTGCTTCCAGTGGAATGGATAGGTCGATATGTGAGACGCCCAGCCATCGATGTACAAGGACATTTTGGCGTTGGGCAAAAACTGATTTGTCTCTTACTATTAGTATTATGGAGAACTTACGGCCAATGCGAAAACTATGGCGTCATGACTGGACACAAAGGCGCCGTTCTAGATTTACAATGGTCTCGCGATTCGCGCATTATCTTTTCCGCATCAGCAGACATGACACTTGCTAGCTGGGATCTTGAGTCCGGGCAAAGAATACGCCGACATGTTGGACACGAGGAAATCGTCAACTGCGTTGATCTCAGCAAACGAGGACAAGATCTCTTAATTAGTGGCAGCGATGATGGATGTATTGGAATCTGGGATCCCCGACAAAAGGATGCGGTAGATTTCTTTGAGACGGAGATGCCCATTACCGCGATCGCATTAGCTGAAGCCGGAAATGAAATTTACAGTGGGGGAATTGACAACGATATCCACGTATGGGATGTTCGAAAACGATCAGTTGTATACTCCATGATTGGGCATGCGGACACAGTGACATCTTTACAGATCTCACCGGACTCCCAAACACTGCTGTCAAACTCGCATGATTCTACTGTACGGACGTGGGACATTAGGCCCTTCGCACCAGCCGACCGACATATCAAGACCTACGACGGCGCACCGACGGGTCTAGAAAAGAATCTTATTAGATCCAGCTGGTCACCCAATGGAGAAAGGATCGCTGCTGGAAGCGGAGACAGAAGCGTGGTTATTTGGGATACTCAATCGGCTAAAATCCTATATAAACTTCCTGGGCACAAGGGAACCGTCAACGACGTGCGATTTGCACCGAATGACGAACCGATCAGTAAGTTGATAATTCTGTTAATGTCCACTCTCTAGCATTTTCTCGGCTTGCGTTGGCTAACGTTTTTTGCGCCTCCAACAGTCGTCTCAGGGTCGTCAGATCGCTGTTTGTTCCTGGGAGAAATTGGGAAATAAACCCAACCGTCAAAGTCAACATACCCGCATTGGTTTAAGAAACGTATATCGTGACATTTGTTGAGCGTTATATTCTGCGTTCTTGTATTATACACCTGGAGCGAATAGGCTAATTACAGCCTGAGGTGAGTGGATAAAAGCCGAATCCCCAAAAGATACCAGCATTCCTCATGCCTCATTCTCTGGAATGGCCGTGGCATAATGAACTATTGCTAGATTAGGTAGGCTCCTAGCAAGAGGTCGTCGTGAATGCAGAGTATGAATCAGTATTTGTCAATTTCGAGACCGAATTAAGGGAGGCGTGACATCTTTAGTTGCTGAAAATAACCAGGTGATCTTGGGAAATGGTCTGTCGCCAATATACTCTACTCCTGTTTGATCCAATGGAAGGATAGCGCGACATTTAAGCACTGTTCAATGTTCAACATTAGTTTATACTTCATACACAGAAGACTGGGGGCAGTATATCCACTAGTTACTTCATGAGCAAGCTGTGGCCTGCGAGCATCCACACATTTGGCCACAGATATTTCAGCGTGAAAAGGTGAAACCGACGCGCCCAAAACCCATCTTGGCCTCCTTTTTCTTGCGCGAATACGATATCAATACCAATCCGGCTGCTTTGGTAGAAAGGAAATCATTTCCAGTAATTTTGCAGTCCTGAGGAGCTTGGATGTCGCCACCACCTGGGTCATTGATCAAGTGGATACGCAGCCTATTACGTCGCAATATCAACTTCGATTCAATATATCTTCCATAGTAATGATCGCGCCCCTTCCGGTTGCACGGTGATCCGCGCGGCTAGTTATCTGGGCGGCGGTTTTGAGGACAAATATCAGTCGGCCAATGTCATACTCAAGCACCAGGCGTTGAAATTTGGGAGGCAGCCTCTTGGAAAAGTCACTGCCCAAGGAGAATAACTAACTAGTAGCTAACTCCTAGAGTTCATAACACTATCTAACGTTCACTTGGCGGAGGAATCGACGTTGGGACCACGGTGAGCTCAACCACATTACACAAAAAAGGAGCTGCAACGGCGGTGGGGATTGAAATAGCTAGAGCATCTCTGATGAATCAAGAGTGATCTCGACGAAGTATTCGTTAAAGGGAAACAGAGAATCTGAAGCCATATAGTCGCTTTTCTCATTGCCGAAAGGGTCTCTATGCGGAGTTGGTTTATCCGCATCGGCATCCTTTCGACAAAGGGTGCAGCAGAGGTAATCTTCACAGCTTGTAGCCTCGTGCTAACATCTGAGATTCAGCTTCTTGATATCAGGGTCGGATGGATAGTCGCTCCGTACCTACGGAGTCCATTAGTTAGTTAACTAACTATAGTTCGTGCCGCTTCGACTCCTGGTTTCGGTCGCGGAGGAGTTCTTGAACAGGAAGCCCCCCGCGTGAGACAAAGCCTGGCGATACTTGGACTCGCGTGTGCGCCTCGGGCTGTCATATCCTCCGTATCATTCGAGAGCCGCCAAGATTCCCGACTCACGAATAGTGCAGTTGATCAAATAGCGCTAGGATGGCTCCGACATGCCCCCCAGCATCCAGCGACGTATTCAAACACGAGCAAGACCGGTGACCGCTGACCTGCCCAATAATGCTTTCAGTCAAAGAGCCGCACAGCCTCGCCGATTTAACGATACGACGACGAGGCTGTAGCGTCACTTACTCCCCAGACAACTTGCCGCAAATTATGACTGTTTCCTGCATGGAACACAGGATGGAGTATTTAACTTGCCTGCGCCTCGCCGCTTTCCTTCTATTTGAAGACTACTTCTCGGCTCCATTCTAGATATGGATCCTGCTTTCAAGGAGAGAATACCTGTGACTGGCTGGGAACATCTTTGTTTTAACTCGTTGCAGGCACATTTGGGCCCAAATCTGGAAAACCTAACTCATGGACTAATCGATAAGATTGGCCAACCCGTCTCTTCACTCGATAAGGACACCTGGGGGGTGGATATCGAAACCTGCAACGCCTATTGCAATATAGATCAAATTCCATGGCCGGTGAGCATCCCTGAGTATTCGACATTCCGCAGAAGTAAAACGCTAATGAAGAGCAGAACTTCAATTTCAATGCCTTTGCCGCATCATTCACCAACTACCTTCTCCCTTGGCTCGCACTCACTGCGCAGCTCCCCTACGAAACCGGGAGCCCATGGAGCGACATCATGAGCCTTTGCCTTGCGGTTGGCAGCCCGGCGCTGATTACTTATTCGCTTACCATCACGATGCTGAATCGGTACTGGGTGCGGCGGGTATTTCGTGAGCTGTTGGATAACTTGCACCCCCAGACCCGGGCCCGCTACAAGCGGCAGGTGAATGGCGTGCAGTATTTCCTTGCCGAAGCGCAGCAGGTTCCTATCCAGGTTCCTGCCGAGTTAAGCGAGATACGCCGATTGCTTGCGCCTGGGATGGAAGTGTGGTGGCGCGGACTCAATGGACGGCTACGGCGCTCAAGGCGCGGAGTTACGGCTTCGCTTGTTGCTCAGGTGCTATCGGCAGTAATCGCTTACACTTTTACTGTAATTGCATCTTTCATCGCGGCTATCGACAGTTTGGATCCGGTTATGCAGATTAGCGCAGGAACATTGTGGGTATGGTTGGTAAGTTGAGTGGCGCATTCAACCAAACAAGAAGCCCCTTTTCAGCATCTGACAGCATAAAACAGATACCTGTTATATGTGGCTGGGTTATTGTCGGGACCCAGAGCTCGCACGATGCAGTGGAGGATGCCTTGCGCGTAAGGCATTTGAACCCGTCATCCGGAGTCCAAAGCAGCCCTAACATCCCGGAGCCGGAAAACGATGGGATCACGGTCCGGCACTATGGAAATACCAGACAATCACTCTGGTTTGGCTTGAATTTTGCCGGCGATGAACTACAAAAGGGCCCTGTATATAACTACGCGCGAGTTTTAACATGGTGGCAGACGGTCAATGCATTTATTGAAACAACAAGAGCCATCGATCGCAGCCATGCCGCAGAAACAGAGCCAACTTGGCAGCCAGATAATAAGCCTCAGACTCCAACTTTACAGCCGGTCATCAACGAGGTGTCTGAAAGCGAAATTACCGTACTTCCGATTTCGCAGGACGAGGTCTTTATCGAGACCTATCCAAGACTGGCGAGCATCCCGCCGGAAATGTGGTGGCGAATAATACTTGCTTCTCTCATGGCTCTCTCTGTACAATGGGGAACCACTGGGGCATCAGTCATCATCGCGATTCTAACGCCAGTCAAAGGCCTTGGCTGCCGGTCCGGTAGCTACGCGCTCTATGGCGTCCTGGGAACATTTTCCTGGTTGGTCTTACTTGTGTCCATGCTGTTGTCGCACGCTGCAATGTCACGACCAGCCAGGTCAACAGCGCATCGCTGGTATGGCCGCCTCGCTATCGTTTCTCGGTGCCTGGGCAAGACGATCGCGGTTATCAACGCCGCGTGGCTGGCTAGCAGTACCATATTTGAAAACATCGGCTTCTACGACAACTGTTGGTGTCACTCGGTCGTACTGCAATATGGCGTTGACGCGTGGGTTATTCTGTTTCGCACCGAAGAGGAGTTTCGACGAGAGGCGAAGAATTCGTGGCCTGGTGGGATCGCGATGACGATGATCGTCGCGGCTCTGTCGGTTTTGGTATTCGCGCTAGGATCGAGAAATGATTCGACTTCGGGTGACGATGAGTATGATTAGATGACTTTGACTGATGTATGGGGTTTGGGTTTCTCGTCAAGTACCGCCGCTCTCGATCCTTTTGCTTTGTTTTGGCTGTCCCTTCATACGAGGAACGGGATATTTAAACCGTGGACTTTGGCCTCGTGAGAAGCTGATCAACATTAATTTCCGCTGTGAGAATGGTTAAAATGGCCAACGATGAAACCTTGGCCGACCTCATTAGAGATGGATGCGAAACTAATTGATAGTAAAATGTATGATTTATGGAAGAGGATCTGATCAACAGAGCGATTATTATATCATCATCGTTGACAAAAGCTGGCTTGACCTATGAATAAAACAGCTCTAGTCTCGCCCGCAGCTGCAGAGTACTGTAGCTCGTTAAATGCTCTCAGGCACTTCTCCCGCTCTGCCCAAGAATGAGCCCGTTCCCCTCGTCGTGCTTCAGGATGGCGCCAAGGACACCAAAGCGGCTTTTCGGCCAACGGCAGTCTGGCAACCATCGAACTTGAAACGCCATCTCGAGACCCAGAACGAGGATCCTGGTTCAGATTCACCGCACTCCTGAGGTCTTCGTCACCCCATCTCGTCCCTCTTGCGTCCGTGCGACCCAGGGCGCGGGGTTCAACCTCACACACCTCCCTCCGACTCCGCGACTTCGGTGTGCTTCAGGCTAATACGTCCAGGGGCAGCCAATTGGTCCAGGGGCCACCACAACGGGCAGTCGATGGCCATCGTCGAAAGACGGAGACCATTGCCCGATTCGTGGGCGTTTTGTCTGGCTTGAGTTACACCGTCTGTCTAGCCTCCGGACGGCCGCGTTTCGTGATGCCGTGGGTCATCGATGTTCTCTCGTCTTTATTTCCGGGATGAGGCCTCCATCCTCTGCCCTATGGCTGTTGGGGATCCCATTCAGTTTCTGACGACGTTGAAAGGAAATTTGAATCCTCAAGGCCCAAGAGTCAAGCTTGACTGGATCGTTTCTGGGCCGGGCTTGCAACTTTGCCTGTTGGGAGTTTGTTCGCTGGCGACCTGTTCCCGCCGGTTCTTCCGGTTAACTTGCTACACTGGCTTTTCCACCCCTCAAGTCTCAGGTTGAAATTACTATGTTTATGGTTTGCTCCGCCTTCTCTGTTGATGCGGTGCATTCAAGTCGTTCCCCTCGAGAAAAAATCATCAACTTTTGAGTCGCTTCCATGACTGAAGGGATGGGCGATTCCTATTTTCGATTTGCTATCAGACAATAGTGTATAATTTCCTCTTTGATTTCTCGTCCCATTTATGGTGCAGCCGAAAAGGAAACAAAGAGCTGTTTGAGGAACCGGAACAACCGCGCTTCTGAGATCTGGAAACGTCAAGAGGGGCAGAAAGAACGAGGCCCGGTAGGGTCATGTTCATGTCTCTATCGGAGGATTCGCGAGGATACTACCTATCTAACGTCGATTCACGAGCATTTTGAGAAGATCGAGGTCCATGGCCAACAGCTTCGGAACCCTTCGTGGTCGGGTGACGTCTCTTTTTGCCGGCGCGCCCGCCGGGCAACATGGTGACCGTATATCAGTGAAGTCAGCAGGCCGCAGGTTTAAATTGCGGTTGTTTTCAGCACCTTTAAAAGAAAACCGATTGCCTTTGCACAGTGCGCACCATGTACCGCATTCGACGAGATCTGCCACAACCCAAACAATATTACCAACCAGCTCACGTTCGAACAGCCAGGAAGCTGAACGAGTGGAAAATCCACCGAACAATACATCGCCTGACCATGTGGGTTCGTCAACACGGCCGAATGGGAGGCGTCGATATCCCATGGGGTGGGTACGACCTTCCCGTAAGTCGAGGCGGGGACGAGGGAGGGCTGCGATTCCGTTTGGGGCCGGGATTTAAGACAAGGGAAGCGAAGAGAAAAATGGTCAACTGTGCAATATCGGGAAGTATCCTTGCAATTGTGTTGGCAGTTTGTAAGGAACACCTCTGGCAAATACTTCGATAGGCATGCGGCTGACCATGGGTGTTTAGACATGACGCTTGCATTGACGACATCTATCCGAGGACGCGAATTTCACATTTTCCTTATTCTTATATTAATGATTCTTACGGTATATTTCTGCCATTCGTTTGTGCGTCTATTCATGATTGCCTCCAAACCTACGGCGGATCAGGAGTCCTATGACGGTAGAAGGGTGAGGTTTGGAGAAACGGACCACCCCATCCGTGTAACGTTTGCGAGGGATGAAGAGGTGGTTGAGAGCGATATGGAAACCAACCGCAATGCCTCACTAGCTCCCCCGCCCCCTGCGTACGGCCTATGGAGGGGAAGCATGGTATGTTTATTTATCCTAAATCCGACTGGCGTCATATTGCTAACTTATGGGACCAGAGAATAAACCCCAATATGATCTACTGGCAACGAGTGAATGGAACGGATTCTGGAAGTGGGACCAGCTCAACTTCAACTGACGAGCCACGACCAGCAACGGCAAATCGGCCGCCAAGCTATGTTTCTGATGACGGAGTTCGATATGTTCTTGACGTACAGCCGCGGTCTACTCAAATGCCGCCACATGGACAGGTTCCTGAGATTCACGTGTCCGACCGGAGTTATTATAATTGAAAGCTTTCCCCGTGTATATAGCGTCTTTTGACTAGTCACAGTGTGGTTATTTTCTGAGGGTTTCGAATTTTTTTTTTTTTTTTTTTTGCGGGTCAGGGACTGGCACGGAATCGTTTTGGATTTTAGTTCATTCTGTTCGATCTTTCACAGCAAAGTGTACGAATTTTGCAAAGTAGGCCGAGTCACTGGAAAAGGAGGAATTTTAGTTAGAACAAACGCTGGGGCTAAAATCTCTCTTAAATTTAAACAATGAATGTTGAAGCAATAAGATTAAAATCTTTATGATGAAGTCTTGGTTGCCGTAAAAAGTGGCAGCTCCTCGATATGATCAAGTCATCATCCTTATAGAGCTAGCCAGTGTCACCAGTCAGGCTACCGCAAACCTTGCTTGTTCCTTTCACCAAGTATTGGCGTCCTCTGTTGATCGCAGTCCTTTTGAGCATAAAACTACAACGATACCCATAACCGAATCAAGGGTCAACTACCGGGTATTCTCGCGTTTAAAATAGATCGGGGGCCGGATTTGGCACCACTTTATCCTGACGGATAAGGTACACCAAGTACAGATCCGAGCATTCCGGTACGAGCCTAGATGTCCGATGAAATATGGGAGATATGACCTAAGCTTCTCAACGAATATACAGGCACCCGGCGTGCTTTGCGCATCCCACATTACGCAAAGAAATACCACTGAAGGCAGCAAAGAATATAGAAAATCGAGCAACTTTCGCCATGGGCCTTTAATGACCAAGATGTCCAGGGACGCCTTTCCTGACAAGGTTGTCCACCGCAATGGAAACGCGGTTAAAATACGGAGTAAGAGTAGCAAACAAGCCAACCGATATAACATCGAGGCCTGGTAGTGGCACATTACTAAGCTTTTAACTAGTTAGTTAGAGCGTCAACCAATCAGAGCAAAGGACAAGTGGCCACAAGCTTAGTCAGATTTACAGGGTACGGTTGGGACCAAGTCGGCACGATATGTAGTATGGCGTCCGGAGTACGGAGTACACCGAAGCAACTTGATAGACCGTCCATGCTCCATGAACTCTTCACAATCCCAAGTTCCCTGCCGGTGATGCACTCGAGATGCCGGCGCATCCAGATGTTCAATCCAATAGTAATAATAGTATGGACCGTTAGGGCGTTGTTGCTGCTATCATGGCTTTTAGGAGTTCAAGGTATTCGAGAAAGCCGGCTTCAGGAGCTCAGGTTTGCCAAAACTTCCCCCGCAAGCTGAGTGACAGCCACAGCTAAACCTGCACATTGTAGGGCGGAAACAGAACATATGTTCTACCATGGATTTGAAAACTATATGAAATACGCGTTTCCCGAAGATGAACTCCGCCCTTTAACGTGCGGATCCTTAACACGCGACCGCGAGAATCCTGCCCATATTGAGCTGAATGACGTCCTGGGAAATTACTCCCTTACACTTGTGGATAGCCTGTCGACATTGGCAATTTTATCGGATGCTGGATCTAAAACTCGAAATGGGTGGAAGGCATGGACATCGTTTCAGGACGGGGTAAGGGACCTTGTGGACCTCTATGGCGATGGATCAAATGGCCCGAAGGGAAGGGGCTCTCGAGGCAGGGGCTTTGAAGTCGACAGCAAAGTCCAGGTTTTCGAGACCGTTATTCGAGGCGTGGGTAGGTAACCTCGGTGTTTGCCTGGTGAGATGGGGTATGGTTACTTACTCGTTAATTGAGATCATGCCAGGCGGCCTTCTCAGCGCTCACCTTTTCGCCGTGGGCGATTTGCCAATTCGCGGATATAATCCCCCCGTAAATGAGGCATCATACGCAAAACTCTGGGATAAAACCCATACTACGCCAAGTCATCCTGGGATACGTTGGGCCAACGGTTTTGTGTACGATGGTCAACTGCTCAGGCTTGCTACGGACCTAGCAACTCGCTTACTTCCTGCCTTTTATACGCCGACTGGGCTCCCGTATCCTCGGGTCAATCTTCGTTATGGCGTACCGTTTTACCCTAATTCACCTGTAAATGGCAATTCAACAAGGGACACCTCGCATTCTGAGTCAGCATTTCCTCAGGAAATCACCGAGACATGCAGCGCTGGCGCTGGTAGCTTGGTTTTGGAATTCACGGTTTTGAGTCGACTCACTGGAAATGGACGTTTTGAGGAGCTTGCAAAGCGGGCTTTCTGGTCCGTGTGGGTAAGACGCAGTGATATTGGGTTAATCGGTGCTGGCATCGATGCGGAGTCGGGAAAGTGGGTAAATTCATACACGGGGGTAAGTTTACCACTCCTTCTCAACCTGAAATCGAGGCCATTTGCTAATTTTCTCTTCGTTATTCCTGTAGATTGGGGCGGGTATTGACAGCTTTTTTGAATATGCGCTGAAATCACACATTTTACTTTCTGAAGGGCAACCTCCGCCTTTCAACACATCTGGGCCATTTCATGAACTAGATAATCACTATACTCCACTACCGGAAGAAGCTCATTCTCCTGACGCTTTCCTCAGAACATGGCAGCAAGCTCGAAATTCTATCCAGCACCATTTATACCGTGGCTCCAGTTATCAACACCCCCATTACATTCAGGGGGACATTATAACCGGGGCGACACGTGCATTTTGGATGGATAGCCTTAGCGCGTATTTTCCCGGCTTATTGACACTGGCGGGAGATTTGGATAAGGCTGCTGAAGCCCATCTTCTGACAGCCGCTCTCTGGACTCGGTATTCAGCATTACCTGAAAGATGGAGTGTTGCTACTGGTGAAATCGAAGGAGGTTTAACTTGGTGGGGAGGGCGGCCAGAGTTCGTCGAATCAACGTACTATCTCTACCAAGCTACTGAGGATCCGTGGTATCTTTATGTTGGAGAAATGGCTATGAGGGATATAAAGCGAAGATGCTGGACCAAATGCGGTTGGGCAGGGCTTCAAGATGTCCGGACTGGACAATTGAGTGATAGAATGGAGAGTTTCTTCCTTGGAGAAACGGCAAAGTATCTATTTCTATTATTTGACCCCTCTCACCCGTTGAACCATCTTGATGCGCCCTTTGTATTCACCACTGAAGGACACCCTCTTATTATACCCAACTCCGCGCACCATAGTACTCATGCTAAGGTTAAATCGGGTCCACCAAAGGGTCGCGCTGCAGCGACTGAGTCCTGTCCTCGACCATTGCCTTCCCCTTCCTTTCGGGCTGTCCAGGGTTGCAGCACGCCCGGATATATTTCATGCAGCGAGTTTGGCCAAGCTACATTTAATGCTTCGCAGAGGTCGAACTGGAGTCTTCTGGTCGTGGAATACTCCAAAGGATCAACCAAGGCGTGACTCTTTCTGATCTAATTTCGCCCTCCAACTACACTCTACTTTCCCTGGACGTTGCCCCCGGACTTGGTGCCTCCCAACTCGACCAGCGCGCCGATGGCAACTAGGCCGACACTCGACCTCTCTTTTCCTCCTATGCCCAACTCTGTTCTCAGTTCTGCATCATTAGAGCGTGTTAACGACGGAATCTTCGTCAAATCTATCAGTGGTCTGCGTTTAGGTATGATCCAAGACGTGCCGCTGTTTATGGAAGGGGGATCTGCTGCTGTTGATGGGTATCGCATCCAAGTGATCAACAATATACCTCTTGGAAAAGATGAGAAAGTCTATGTTTCTCGCGAAACCACTAAAGTTCTAGAGCCAACTGATCCCAACTTCACACAGATTGAGGACCTGACAATGCTGGACATCATTGTTGACTTTAAACAGCCGCGTATTTCCAGGAATGGTTCGTCAACCGCTACCAGGCCTCCAGTCAATACTGGAAAGTTGGCGGAAGATGTTCGCGCTCCAGTTGAGGACAGCTCAAATATGAAGCTTGCGTTCTCGTCTTTTATGAGCCAAGTTACATCTTTGCTCCGCGATGAAGTCATGTCTTCTTCTCCAGGCTCGGCAATCTTTGGCCAATCTATCTCGCGAGCGTCTATACCTGCCTTGACTGCCACTGGCAAAGGTGCAGTGCCACTACCTGACACTGAGGAAGCGACGATACCGACGCCATGGGCTACCAGCACATCTAACAAAAAATCAGCCCATTCTCTGCCATGGTCCAGTATATATCTTGCGGGGGAACTGTGTGATGCCCCGCTGCCATCGTCAGTGCCCAAGATGCACCAAGTCATCGTAATAAAACGAGGAAATTGCAGTTTCTCCCAGAAGTTGAGAAACATACCAGGATTTCGGCCGTCCCGGTCATCTTTGCAGCTGGTCATTGTCGTATCTTACCCGCAACATGGAGATCCGGATTTTTCACCTGATGCAAAATCAAAGTCAGCGGCTAAGGAGACAGTTTCCCCATTTTCAGAACCAATCATCGAACTAGATGAATCCTGGCTCATTCGCCCGCTACTTGATGAGATACAAGTCGTTGCAGACAGCATCCCACGCCCCCATCCGATTAGCATGGTGATGGTAGGCGGCGGAGACCAGACATATAGTTACTTCAAGCATTCAATAGGCGTTGGAATTAGAAAGCGGTACGAGATGAGGTCTCAGGGAATACCCATTAGCAACTTGATTGTCATTTAATTTAGTACCTTATGATATATATCAAAAATGTATATACTCTGACAGATTGTGATGCAGCAACTTACCATATCTCCGAATCTCATACTGGTCTCTCAAAGAGTCAAACTGCGCCGGACAGTCCCCTTGTAAACCCAAGTAGCCATGACGGTTTCCTTGCTCAGACCATACTTGGTCCGCTTTGGGCATTTCTTCTAGAGTTCGGATTCATTGGTACTGCACCAATGATATTGCCGTGTTCTCGAACTGGGATGGCTGCCCGAGCGACGTGGCGGATAAGTTTCTGAGACTCGAAATTATCGTGCCGATAAGGTGTAAGACGAGAGATATCACAAGATTAGTACCAGCCAGATAAGGGAAACTCGATATTTCACTGTTTGGTCCTTTATTTTTTCCCTCCGAGAATGACTCGGGATTATCTGCTGGGCGAATTTTCCCACAAGCCGGAATCTCTGATGGACTACAACCTTGTTTGAAAAGAGAAATTGTGCCAAAGGGAGGAGGAATGGAAATTTAACGAGTCATGAACGCGGTGCCCTGCAAGAATTAGATATGAAATCATATCAATTGGAAAGAAGCCGCGAATGGATCTGGACTTGTCTAAATTTGGAGCCGGTCGGGTATGAGGTTTAGAAACAAGTAGTTAGCTGGAGATGGCGAGCATGCTCAAGGTTGAGTAAGAGATCAGCAGCCAGAATCTAGAATCTCAGGTGCTTAAAATAGGTCGTTATCAATGCAAAATGATATGAATGTTATTACTGCTTCAATATGGCCAAAATGGAGCTTCGGCGTCATTTCGGCGCCGATTCGCAGAGTCCACGGAGGAATTCAAATCCTTATTGTTAAATCGGAGAAAAGCAGTGTTTTTTTTCCAACTATAAAATGATATCATGCTTTTTATACCTAAAACGCCTTGAGTTTCCGACGACCAACCGCCATGCAATTAGGACGAGATACCAGAAAAGTGGTGACAAAATAGAAGATTAAAACATAGAGATATCGGTGCCGGCGCTAGTCGATGAGTACAAGTTGCCATATATGGTCTTAAATTGACTGCACGAAAAAGAAAGGGAGACAAATTAATAGTTCACCACGATTGGAGCATGGTAAATCTATGAGAATGGCCGATTTATAGTAAAGCAAACTCTAGCAGAGCCCCAAAGCCGCGTGAGGAAGCCGTAACGGAGTGCATATAGATAAGTTTGGTCGTCCTGAAAGAGAATCGGAGTTAATTGCTCGCTGTTGGTTGAGAGGAGAGAAGTGTGTAAACCGGGGCTGGGAGCTTCTCGCGTCCCTTGAGGAAGTCGAGTTCAAGCATGAAGACGAAGCCAAGTAGATCGCCTCCAAGCTTTTGTACGAGGCTTCCAGCAGCGCTTGCCGAACCACCTATTGGGACAAAAAAGATTAGCAAAATCCAAAAGCAATTCCATAATTTATTCTATTCTTGGGGTGAGCCCAGGAAGGAGTAATTTAAGCACCCACCAGTTGCAATGATATCGTCGACCACGATGACCTTCTGGCCGGGTTTGATCGCGTCTGCTTGGATTTGGAAGTAATCCGTCCCATATTCCTTCTCGTAAGCCTGGGTCTCGACAGGACCAGGCAGCTTTCCCTGCTTTCTAACGGGCACAAAGGAAGCACCCAGGCGAAGGGCCAGCGAAGGCCCAAACAAGAATCCACGAGCGTCTAATCCGACAATTACATCTGGTTTTCTGATCTCATAGGTCGCAGAGGGTGGAGTTCCAAGACCCCGAATTAGGTCTTCATGCAGTGAGGGTCAGCGAAAATCGGGAGGATATCCTCGAACAGAATCCCAGGAGAGGGAAAGTCCTGGAACTGGCGCAAAGCACCGCCGCAGTCTTATCTTA